AGTCACTGCTCTCCTTATGCATTGCTAATGGCATGCCCCAATAAATCAATTTACCAATAATAAAATTATGAATAAAAGACATTCTGAAGCACTAAGATATGCCATAACTATAAAATAAACGCCATTTCCAGTCACTGATACTGGATGATTTCTAGTGACAGCAGGGGATGAATAGGTCATTTAAGTCAGGTTAGTTTTCTGCTGGTTACTTTCCAATTGACCACATCAGTCTGCCATAAGTCCAGTTACTTTAGAATGACGTCAGATGATCCTGAAGTTGGTTGCTCTTACAGGGAGTTTGCAGAAAGTGTAATTGCGGCTGTTATTTATTTTTTTTTTTTTAATCAGACAGCTTGTGCTGTGAGGTCCGTGGATACGTTTGTGCTCAAGAACCTGAGGTTTACAACGTCTCCTGTTCTCAATTTATCACCAGGTCAGTGATCCAACTCACACTCCACTCACAATGAGCCCACACTTGTCAGGACAGGCCCTTGAACAGCTTTCAAATCGGTACCAAAGCACATCACGCCAGCACACGTCTGTGAAAGGCATCAATTCTGACCCTCATATGAGCGTAATGTTATCCGGCAGTATTGTCCGACGAGGTGCGCCAAGCCTGTGACTCAGACAAAGGTAAAGTTTCAGCAGAGAGAGGGCTGGGGAAACGTTCACTCTAATGTTTATTATTTTCCCCAACACAACGTAAAAAGTTAGTCAGGTTTTTCGCTCAGATATTAATTAAATATAAACACAAAGCAAAGCGGTGGCGATCGTAGACATTAGACAGAACGTAAAGTCAACATGTCAAAGGTTGCCAGTGACTAACTTCATAAATTAGCTTCCAGGACTGACGCAGACAGTCCATCCAATAACAAACCTTAGAGATGATGTTGTGAAGTCAAACATTTGTCCACAGGTACATCACTCTGGTTGACAAACGTTCCAGACTCATTCAAAGCTTAAATCACCCTGAGATGTTTATTGATATGCACAACGTTTTGGATGAATTTGTTTCCAACTCTGAAATTCTGAGCCCTTTGTTCACATTTTTTTTCCTACAATATAAACACACTTTACATTTTTATTTTTTCCATTTCATCCTCAATTTTTCCTCTCAGAATGCTGAAATTTTCCAAGTTTCTGACAACAGAGAGTGGGGAGGATCCCAAAAAAAAAAAAAAGAGAAAAACTTTCCAATATCTTAAGAAAACCCTAATTCCTTGAAATCAAACATTTAAAAAAGAAGCTTGGCTCTGAACTTTGGCTAATAAATGCATTTTTTAAATATTATTTTTAGGAATGTTTACCTTTTCTAGGCAGGTTAACTGGTCTTCGTGACAGCCCTCCTTTTTCAACCAGACCCGATTGACCATCAATGAATAAGTGACGAACCTGAAAGAAACATATAGGCATGGGTGAAAAAATATTTCTAGTTTAAAAACCCAATTTAAACACATATTTGAACCACTTCAGTGAATTAAGGCAGACCCAATAAGGTAATATTTTACAAAAGCTGAAAAAAAGCCTACTCTGTAAAGAATCTCTTTTAAAAAAGATGTGAGATCAAAGTTTCTTCTAACAGCTTTCATTTTTAACACAAGCATTTCCATGCTACAACATAGTCAGTCACTTCTTCGTGTTTTCATCTGGAAATACAGAGGAATAAGAGATTTGATCTCAGTTTGTGGCGATTGCTGCTGAACTCAGCTAAAACATGTCCAATCTTGCTAATAGATAAGGAGGCCATTACTTCCTGCTTGGGGAAAAAAAAAAAAAAAAAAAAAGTTCCTTTGAATACAACTTTGGAAAATAATCACCAACCTGGTGTGGACGTACACAGCTGGAGTTCAGGTTCGGGTAGCGGGTAGCAGGATCAATCGTATACTGTTCAAAGTTTTTACTGATGTTTTCCGGTGTGGTCTGAGGCAGCAGACGGTAAATGCTCTCCCTGATAGAGAAGGGTGACACATTTTAAACACAGCATGTTAGTCGTTTATTTGTAACTATCAAAATAAGATGGCTCAAATACTACTTCCTTTCTTACTTTGAAATAAGAGTCTCAGAGAGACAAGATTTCATATTCGAAGCTTTGGATTCTTATCCACCAGAAGTCACATGCTGACTAAGCAACTCCACAAGAATTAAACTAGATATACTAGACAGACTACACAAGTATCGTGTCATTTTAACGTCGCTATACGTCCTTACTCAACGAAGCGATAAAACTACACTAATTTCAATCTGCGGGAAGCAACACATCCTCACCTCTCTGCCAGTATCTCCAAGGAGCTCTTTCCCTGTGCCCAGCCCCTCACCATCCAAGCAGTGTCGAAGGCAGCCAGAAAGCCTCTAGCACAACCAGTACCCATCGGCCAGAAAGGCTGCAATCAAAAAAAACAAAAACAACATGGTGTCAAAGAAGAACAAAAAGGACAACGATTATTCCTGCCCTGACAAAACGTACAACCAAAAGCAAAAAAAAACAGTGTCTCTTACCTCGAGAAGACTGTCTCCCACCAGCGCAACCAGCAGCTCATGTCCATGTTTCTCCCTAATCAGGGCGGCGTTCTCTGATGCGTACATGCAGGTAAAATCAAACATGGCCACGTCTGGCTGCCCGTAGTGATTGATGGCGTAGTCCAGCGACGGCAGCTGGTAGTTGGTGCCAAAGTCCGCAGCCTCACGAGCGTACGACAACAACGCTTCCTGGTTAACGTTGTCAGAATTCAGCAGCCGCTCCGTTTCTATGTAGTCCTGGAACAAGAAGTGGAGCCCTAAAACTTCAGGCAAAATTTTTAAAATACTACACAAGTACATAAACCGTTTTCCAAAATAGCCTATTTATAATATTTAGCTGCTACAGGTTAATTCATGGAGCTTTTCTTTCAACAGAAAACATTTCTCATCTGATTTGTTTGTGTAAAGAGTCTTAAATGCAATCCTTGCATGAGTGTCACAATGACAGAAAGCTATGGCGCCGTTATAGGTCAGCCATGTGGCCTCTGACGCCTGTGCTGTGTGCGTGGGTTTTGACCCAGCAGTCGGAGGGAGATTTCACTCGGCACCAACAGCCAATGTAAGATGAGAGGGAGACCACTGGGGGCTCAGCAGCGCAGCACTTCAGCACCTGCGTATGTGCTTGGATAATGCATATGGAAAAAGTTTGTATTATGGATTAGTTCCAAAACTGCATGGTAAGAATTTGTGTTGTTAACAAAAGGTTTTCAAATAACAACTGGAAGCTTACTCTGAAAACATTTGTCACTTGCAAATAACCATTTCTGCTGTCTGATTTCTTCCATGCAAGGAACGATTTTTTTTTTTTATATATATATGCTGTGAGAGAAATGGAATAAAGGTGAGAGGTGGAATGCTTTAATTAGAGCCCTGTTTATCATCATCGGCTGTGCAGTGCAATCACTCACTACACTGGTCAGCACACAAACCGTTCTGTGTTCCCAAAAGGCCATCTGACTCCCAGCTTTGGGACTTCACTTTAAATGTTGTGATTTTCTGGTCCGTAACAGGATGTATTTAGAAAACTATAAATTTTTATGAAAAAATAAATAAATAAAAATAGAACAAAGCAGAATAGACAAGCTTCATTCACTTTTATTAACACTAAAGGTTGCAAAACATATTACACCAGTGATACTTTTGAAATAAAGCTGCATGACATAAAACAATGAGCTGCCTGTTTCCTTAAACAGTACGCTCCAACCAGTGCTCTCGGTATGCCACCACTTAACAGGAAGAAATAAAGATATTGATATACCACATTATACAAGAAGCTAAAGAAAACAAAACAACCCAAAATAAAAAATTCTACCACAGCTGGGCAGAAACATTTCAGATTATTATCCACAAACAGTTAGTTAGGAGCCACTTCACAGGAGTTACACAACTAATGTACCCAATTAAAACATTAAAAAGAAATGCATGTTCCTCTGAAACATAAGTTTCAAAAGAGCTTATATTTCACAATAATATTACTTATTAATTTGGTGTTAAGGGTTGAATGGGTTTTTAACAAACTGCCATGAAATATAGATCAAATTTTTACTTTTGTGTTGAATGTCTGTACTATTTCCCTAAAAATAAACTGTTAGCTATTTTTTGTCCCACAAAAACTGGAAATTTAGGCTAATTTTAGCTTATGCACTAATTTTAACATACTGAACAGAATAAGTCCATGTTACTCAACATGCTTGTGGCTCTCCACATGCTATTGAGTACACTGTAGCTTACTTTAGCATTGATGCTAATTTTTAGCGTCAGAATGCTGGGTTCCAACCAGCAGGCACACTTTGGCAGGCCGCATTCAAATGTCTAAAGAAATTTTCTAGTTGTCACTTATTATGGATGGATTTACTGTACAACTAAACAGAATTCCAATTGTCCATTCTTTTAAATATCATAGCCTTTTTAATCCATTTTCATAAAATTTGCAGAATATTTTGGAGTCAAACTGTTTTGTCATTGGCAGAAACAGCCGGTAAAGAAAGCTTAAATATTACTGGTGATGCATCAACACAATAGATTATGGTTAGCTAAACTCACATTTATGATGACCCCTTTGTCCAACAGGCTCTGCTTCTTTGCAGTCATCACAAAATAGTGGGTGTTGTCCTTGTAGTAAACAATGTTTTCCAAATCAATTCCTAGAAATTTGAGCATGTTGTTTAACACAGATCCCTTTAGAGCTGCAGATCATCCATAAAATTTGACATATTTACACAATTTACCCGTCTCCTCTTTCAGTTCCAGAAAAAATTTCTGGTTAAAGATGAAGGCGACGCCGCTGATTTCCTCGACTTTCGCTTCTGCTGTGGTGTTCCTGTTGACAAAGTTGGCTGTTATAGCGATTGCCAACTTTCCTCTGAACTCCTTGCGACTGAAACCTGCCAAGAAGAGGTTAGGAATTAAAGGGGGAAGGATGCAAATTCATATTTGTTTTTAATTAACACATGCATAACCAGGCAGGAAGCTAAAAGCAATTAAAAAAGGTTTACTGTAGTCTGAAAAGGCACCTTTAGAAAGCAACTCATCATGAGCAAGAAGTGGTTATTACTTTGTAAGTATGGTACAGCCCCGTTCAATAAATTAGAATATTAATAGAAAGTTCATTTCAGTAACTCCATCCTCAAGTGAAAAGCATTCTATAAATCAATTTGATTAAGACTGATGTTTACCACCTTTATTTCAAAAGTTCATCGAAACATCGAGACATTTAATATTTGAATATTGCATAGACCAACAAAAAACATACATTTTTAAAAACAGAATTATAGAAAAGTATGTTTAATGTCAGCTTAAAAGTCATTTTCGAAAGGTACTTTTAATCTGACAAGAAACTAATCAGGACATTCTCTTCTAATGTATTGAATATGACTATAAGCGGCCAAAACTATTCACTTACCCCTCTAAATCAATTAATGTTATGTTTTCTAATAATTTGTAAAAGAATGTCCATCCAAGGCCAGGATGTAGAAAAGTCAATACCTAGATGTGCAGATTGCTTCTACAAACATTGGGAAAAGAATGAGTTGCTTGCAGGAAGTCTATTCAAATCAAAATAATGTGGTTTTCGCAGTTGCCAGGAGACTGGCATTTGCTTGACCACAACGTGCTGCGTTTTGGTGCGGAGCTGATCATGTAGGGGTGTTTTTTGGGACTTGATCTAAGCGCCATAGTTCAAGTGAAAGCAACTCGTAATGCTTCTGCATATCAAGATATTTTGGACAATATTACTATCCAAGCTTTGAAGGACTGGTCTGGGGCCTGCACTTTCCTGTTCCAAGTCATTACACACCAGTGTAAAATAATGTCCATAAACATCTCAAAAGGCTTGCACAAATCTCTGACCTCAACCCAACTGATCACTATTAGGGATGAATTAGAGCACAAATTGTGAGCCTTGTCCAAGATTGACCTCATAAATTTGCTTCAGAAAAAAATGACCAAATACTCCCAAAGATAAAGTCGTACACTTTGAGGAAAGATTTCCTAGAAAAATTGAAGCTACTAAAACTGCAAAGGGTGATCAGACATCATATTGAGCCTCAGAATGGGTCAAGTCCATGAGTGAAGGAAGACATGCACATACTTTTGCCAATATGACTGTATATTTAGAATACAGATTCTTGAACAAACAAGCATGAGACTTATTTATTATTCTTGGACAGAAGGGTAACAGCTCTCATCCAGTTCACGAACCTTCACACACAAACACATAAAACATATTCAGTTGAAACCATGTCAACAGGAAATGCCTCAGTGCCAGAACGAGCTTCCTCAATGTGGGTCAGTAGCAAAACTTTCTTTGTCTCTCATGTTGAACCGGTTGTCAGCACTTACTCCCCCCACAATGCTTCACAGTTCTGAGTTAAGGTCAACCCTCACCATCTAATGTGCTTCTGCGACCGTCTGCACCGATCACCACATCAAAGTCAAAGTCAGAGACTGGATGATTGGAGGGCCGGAGTTCTGCTCGCCAACCAGGACCTAAGAAAAACAAAAAATATGAGATTAATGGAATATTTAGAACAAAATCAAAGTTAAAATAACTTGTTTTCCATTCCAGTCTTATTGGAATAGAAGCAACCTTTATTGTCCCGCAAAGGGGAAATTCAGGCGTAGCAACAGATGTAAAGGATCACACACAATAAGTTCTTAGCGTTAAAAAAAAAACATTATATATATAAAAAGTAAGATTAGCAAAAACGAGTGCTGCTGTTTTGAAGTAAATGCCCTAAATTTGCTTGCTTGCGTTTTGCCTGATGTAGGGCGGCTTATTAAAAAAGTCTCTAAAATTCTTCTGTTGTGTTCTTTGGAGAGCTAAAACATGACTGTCTCTTAGGAATTGCTTTGGGAAACAGAGCAGAGTCTATCAATAGCTTTATTTTCCACTCTGCCAGAACTTATCTGTTTACTTCAACATATGTGACATCAAGGGAGCTTTCCTTATATAGCCGACATGTGCAAGTAAGTGCCATCATGTCACTGCTGGTCACGACCCTTTTAAACAAGGATCAAGGATAACCCCGTTTATACATTCACTGGTCTGTTCCTGTACTTGTATTAGAGACCAATCTGACATTCTTAACTTAATTTGGAGGTGTGAAACTACTCTCTTAAGAGTGGATTCTCAAAAGATTTGTACCCAAGACCTTCATGGAACAAACTGGCTTTCTTCTCCCAAAAACAAACAAAAAAGTGTCATCTCATAGAACTGCACAGAGAAGGCAACATCCAACTCAGATGACTCACCGTCTTCCGTCTGCTGCTCCGGAGGCTCCAGAAGTTTTACAAACTCCACATTGACGTGAATCTCCACTCCCAGGATCAGACTCACTTTCAGCAGCATCAGCTGCAGCTGGCGGATACCTGAAGAGGGAGCAAACGGTGCTTTGAAAACGGGTTGTTCAGTCACGTTACAGCCACAAGCGCCAATGTACTTTAGTGGGATCCTATGTCTTTTGCCTACACATAAAAGTATGAAATTGTTAAGAGGAGTGAAACATTGTTTCTTTTTTTTAAATAAATACAATATGAAAAGTATGGCCTGCATTTGTATTTGGCCATTTTTACATTGTAACCATTAATAAAACCCTGTGCTACCTGCAGCTCTCAGACGTTTGGCCATGTATAATTTAATCTCAATATTAATACAGCTGCTCTGAGCAGCATGAGAGGTTTGCTAAAGAATACAAATAAGGATGCATTGTCTTGAAAACACAAGAATGTAGCAGATGGGTTGAAGAGGGAGAAGGGCTTTAACTCTATCTGAAGCCCTACCAAGATATGGCCATTCAAATAAACATGCAAGGAGAGCATTTATCATAAAAGCACATTATATGCACATGGTAACTTTGATGGAGCTGCAGGAATTAACATGACGAAGATATCCATTGTTGAAATTAATCCAGAAAATCCTCTAGTTGCAGTTTGCCATGAATTCTGTAGGGGAGACGGAAAAATATGTAAAAAAAAGATGCTCCACAATTTTTTTTGTATTTCATGCAAGCACTATGTGGCAGAAAACGGACACAGCAAATGATCCTGCACACGCCGTTCCCATAGTGAAACATGGTGGTGGCAGCATCATGGTGTGGGGAATCTTTTTTATCTTATCAGCGTAGACTGTTAGATTGGTGGAGCTAAATACAGGGGTGCGATGATGCTTTGTAGTTCAAAATCTGCTGTTTTCAGGAACAAACACAGTTTGTCCCTTAAAAGAAGTCAGAGGTAAACCTGCTGTCGTATTCTCAGCCAAGGGTAATAATATATAAGAGTTGCTGCAGGTAAGGGCAGCAATGGTGATAAAAAAATAAAAAGAGACACAAATACGCCATCTACTAGCTACAGGACAAACACACAGAAAGATAAACTTCTTATGAGGCTCAGCTAGAAGTCTACTTCCTTGATAGTGATTCTACACACAGTAAAAACAAATCCTTGTCCTGTTGTTGACATCCAGTCAGCTTTTTGTTCTTTACGACTTACTTAAAGACAGCTCTATTTTTGGAATTGAAATAACGCAACAAAAAGAGAGAACACTCACTGATGTGGTCGATGGCGCCGGCGCAGAACTTTCCGTAGAACTTCTTGGCCCCGAGAGCCCTGAGGTCATGAATGGTGTAGGGCCAGAGGTGGAGCACGTTGTTCCTGGAGAAGGTGTCCCTCTTCTCGATCACCACCACTTTGCAGCCGAGCAGGGCCAACTCGATGGCCGTTCGCAGGCCGCAGGGGCCGCCACCGATGATCAGACACTGGGAGTAACAGAAGGTATGAAATGAGTGAGGATGAGATGCAGTCTGAGCAGGTAGGATGTTCTGTTTGATGATGGTGTGTAAATACTTAATGCAGTGCAGTCATATTTGTTTGAACATTTTTCTTTTGTTCCCCTAAAAACATAGAGTGTAAGTAGGTCCTCACCATCAGTGTAGTTTAGAGGTTTTGCTCCTCATCGCATAGAACGAGGCACAGAAGCAATGCTAAGGAAAAGTTTGGCATTTTGTGATGTTAAACTGTAGCCCTTAGCAAGTGTTTTGAGGGGCATGATCTGATGCATTCTACTCCCCCCTTGCATGTAGCGCAACCAAATATGGAGACGATCGAGTTGCAGGGATTAAAGAATGCTGTCCTCTCATTTGGATTTTACATTTGGTTTCAGAGAACACGGCCCGCCCAGCTCCACGTCCACCGTCCTTCATCTCCAAATAGCCGTTTCTCCAGAAAAAAAATGTCTGGAATAATAGCTGAGCTGTTATTTCTGGCTAGCCCTCTACCCAGCCCTTCTGTGTTAATCTCCCTTCTGCAAGTCTCTGGCCTGTTTCCCCCCTCCTTCACTTAAAGTCTTATCTCTTCCTTGAAGATATGAAGTTTTTCCAATACAACGTCAAAAGTGCTGCCTAAACATGTCTACATACATGGTCAAAGAACAACGCAGCACATGAAATGCCAAATTTGAGAGCTTAGCTTCCAAACTGTGTTTTGAGCCTTGCTAAAAGTTATGCAGCACAGTTAAACCGGCAAATGATTCACTGCTTTGTCTGTTTGTACCATAAACCAGTGTTTCCTGCTCCTATCGCTTGGGGCTAATTGCCCTGCACGCTCCAACCCTGCAAGACTTGATGCTAAGCTGTTGAGGTTATTCATTCCTTTGCGCCAGGTGTGTTGAATCAGGAAAACATCTAAAACATCCAAAACATTGTGGCCTGTGGATCAGGACCCAGAAGCTCTGCTGTAACCAACCTATTTGACGCAAAATACCAAGATGACCGAAGAGTTATTAAGTGTCTAAAGTAGTCAAAAGAACTTCAACACAATCTTTCAACTGCAAACAAGCCTACCTTTATTTTTTTCAAATGCAGAAAGGACAGGAGGTCGCTGACCAGTTTTCAGCTTTTATTTTGCAAACTTCATTGAGACTGATGTTTCAACAGCATCTGCATCTTCTGATGGACTCCATGAAGACTCCATAGAAGTTTGCACTATAAAGCTGAACACTGATCAACACCTGATTTCAGCCTGATTACATATTGATTGGGTATGACACTGCTATGTTTGACCCTTTCTGGGCAGAAATATGTTTGATCATGGGATCAGATTGCACATTACATATTAATAAGTTACTTCTTTGCAGGCCACAAGCTGCTATCAAAGACTGCCACCAAAATGGGGCATCTTTTAAAGAAAAAAATATGCAAGTTATCTCTGTTACATAAGCTTGTTCAAGTGTTTAATTTTGTGGTTTGTATTACCCATTGCAAACATTTGTTGTTTTTTCATCATTTTTTGTCTGCAACCAAGGGGATAAATATAACGAAACTATGACATTTTCAACAACTGGGAATACTAGTGGATCAGTTTGCTGTGATTAGTCACATCTCTGTTCACATGTTTGTTTAACCCTTCTGAAAGGGTTAACATCAAGAAGGGCTTTTTTTTTCTAATTTTACTTCATCTTCCGAAAACCAAAAGCGCATAGTAAAAGAGCCCAAACAAGTAATTTGACAAAACCTTTTGAAATAAAATGTAAGTTTTTAAGGATTTCTCAGCAACATGCTCTTACCCTCGTTCCTTGGCAGGCTTTATTCTGGTTGTACACTTTCTGCTGTGCCCGTTTGTCTAATTTTGTCCACAAGGCCTTGACTTTCCAGGAGCTGACTGCTGCCTTCAAGGAGCTGAAGAAGTTGCCGTGGTCCAAAGGATCCAGCTCCATCTGTCTGCAGAGGATGCTGAAGGCCTGCAGGGTTCCTTTACATGTGGACGCCTGGACAAAGTTCTCAAAGAGCTGGCTGGCCTGAGCCGTCCGCTCATCCTCCGTCTCGCCCATCTGCTCTGATTGCAACAGAGTCCCAGCTTCTTAAAAACTCTGCCTCCGCCGTTCCTTTGTGACTCGTCCAGTTTCTCTTGTTTCCCACTGCTAGAACTGAAGTTTTAGCTGCTGTATCATTTCACAATTAAATGTCTCTGGAACAAGAAGAAGAAAACAAATTGTCAGAGAGAATACAAGGCAAGTAGCATTGTTGTCTATGGGACAAACGGGTTTTAACTGCAACTATTAAGATTGGCGAACTTGTGTCTGCTGCTTAGTACATTTATAACTTAGAGAGCTGATAAAAGTCAAAAGCAAAACTTACTGATAGCTGCATTTTATAAGTAAAATTAACCAATCCCTAGGATTTTGTGTTTACTGCTACAGTTTTGAACTCTTATCAATTAGTTGTAGAAAGAGCCAAACAAAAATAATAACTAATTGTGAAAAATATATTTTATTCTAAATATCTTTTTAAATCTTTTTAAAAATAAAAACATTTAGTAAAAAGGATTTTACTAAAATCGTTTTTCTGTTGGTAAAATCCTTCTTCTGAGCCAAGATTTGTGGCTCACAATTACAAACCTTCACTATCCAATGTTTTGCTGCTTTGACCAACTTTATATCCCAACTTCTTCACCTGACATCAACAAACCTGCTGCTTTAAAACAGTAATTATTGTCAACATATCTTCCTCTGGAACTAAGAAATGTTTTTCTTCTGCAGCTCCGCTGAATGCCTGAGAGGATTAGGACAGATTTATGCTTTCGGTGGAGATCAGCTGAGCGGTCATGGGAGAAACTCAAACACTCCAACAGCACAGAAAGAAATAATCATTTTCACAGTTACACAGCTACAATTTTACACCAGCGGCAAATTGTCGAGGCACTAACTACAGAGATACAGATAATACTAACTGTTCCCTTAGAAGACTAGGTGCTTTGTTTCTTCAAGGAAAAACTGTTTAATTCTCACAAACACATGAGAGATTTTTATTTCCCCATTCTACCATAAATATTTTCCTGATTCTTATCCTTTGTGCCTAACTAAGTCATCTATGCAACAAGCTGGTAAATATTCACACTTTAAACCTTAAACCTTTTTTTTTTGCAATTTCAGCTGCAGAATTATGTCTTTACAACCATACAAGTAAATCACAAATATATAAAACAAGGCTCATTTCTTAAAAAGTATTTTAAAGAACAGAGTCTGAAAATTCAAGCATTACTTAATGTCCAGTTTCCATTTCCCCAAACTTATCCAGACATGGAAACTGATAAAAGCAAACTTAATATTTTCCTCAGGCCTGACTCGGAACCTGTAATAAGGGACTGTTTTCCGCTCCCAAACTCCACCCAACAACAGGCATGAATTATCCACAGCCAGAGTCAAACATTTCCTGAATGACGTCTCACTCGGAGGTGAGCATCAGGTCACATTTGCTGGAAGCCTCTCGGTATTATTCTTTTACGCTCATGGAAGCTCCTTCGCAGCACGAGCGTAGAGAAGCCAAGTTTCTCTCAGATAACACTGCTGGTAATCTCGACAGACTTGTGATCATGAAGAATGTCCAAGGTCCCTTTGTGGTAGATTGTCCGTGCAGAAGGAAAACAACACCTGGTTGGTTCTTTTATTCTGCGGTGATCAGAGAGTGACCTACACTTTCTCAGAGTCCCTGACTGGCCCAGGGGGGCTCTCAGGTCTCAGCTTCCTAACAGTTTGGCAGCACACAGCAGCGTCTCAGTTACCATTACTCTCTTTACAAAGTGACACGCCTCAGACCTTTTATGTAAGTCCAAGCCCTGCCAAGACAAAAAGCTTCCACATCTTTCCTCTTTGTATTTCCAAATGCTGACTGAAATTTGTTTCCTAGCATTTAATTCTGGTGTGAGAGCTCAGGGACATGCCACCCTATCTGGCCATCTCTGATCATCAGGCTTAATATAAGCAGCATAATCAACTGGTCTATGTAGAAAAAAAAATAAAATATGTGCATTTAGAGGCTAGAAGGGTATGGGAAAGAGCACAATCTTGGGAGCTTTTTTTTTTTGTTTATGTTTCAACAACTGGGAGGGTGTGCACTGGGAGTTTTCAACAGGAAGTGGTTAAATGTATTATCTTCTTCCACATTTGTTGGTGCATCACGTTCTCTTCACTTTAGTCTGAGTCAGGGACCAACTAAATATAATTATGCCTGGGTCCATTGTGCATTTTCTGCATGAAAATAAGAGCCTTTGGAGTCATTAGGAGGAACTGACCTACTTTTGGAGGAACGCGTTACCTTGGAAAGCCGATAATACTTTGAGGGAATTGTTTAGTGTATCAGTTAAAAATAATTTCAGCTGATTTAATGAGACTAAATGCCAACATACCGAAATATCCATTTAGCTTATATAACAAATGCCTTTCTAATTTGAAAGCAAAAAAATAAACAAATAAATCAATGGTAATCAGTGTAATCTGTCCTAACAGGTGATCAACAGTTCAAGTACAGGATGTATTGCCAGTGTAAAATATTTAAGTGCATTGAAACTGAAAACTTCCACGATTTCCAGTCCAACAAACAGTGGATTATTTGATTTACCATTTGGCTTTGAATTTGGTTAAATAAAAATAAAAACACACAACAGTCTTATGCATCATACTCCTTGAAAATGTTTTTAGAAAAACAAGTTTCTCCATCACATAACTTTTACTTTATATTTCAGATATTCAGATCAAACTAATATTAGTATTAGAGAACATAATTTAAGAAAATACAAAAGGCACTTTTTCCATTATGATTTCAGTTATTATGGCCCTAAGTGTCCTTTATATTTACATAGAGCATACAGATAGCTTTTTTCCTCAAATTAAATCATAAAAACAATGTTCTATTTGATTTTAAAATATATTTTGATGACCTGAACGGAATGGAAAAAGACACAAACAAGAAGGTCTAAGGGGGTGGAGGTATTTTGAAGTAGGCCACTTTGTGTCACTAATGCAGGCCAATTACTAAATGTTCTTTCAATGCAGATCTTTCACAAGTGACTGAAATTATTTAATAAAATGAAGACCAACTCATTTTCCCAGCACAAAATGACTTCAGCCAATAGATAGCAGCTGCTATGCAATATCAGGAAAGAAAATATTGACATCATTTGAGGATATATATTTATACATAGCATGTCAGGAATACCAAAAGGTATCGGGTGTCAGTGCGTGCATACAAGGAGGTTTGCATATTGCAGCTTTCACATTAAGCCTCTTTTAAATAGGGCAAAACAGCCACCAATTCCCACAAGCATCAAATGCTTTTCAGCATTTAAGGGTATTTAAGGGCTCCAGGTCCCCATGTTAGCCAAGAAGAAACAGTTTTTCAAATAAATGTCCCTACAAGGTCTTTAGGATACTTTCTTTGCATTAGCACTTTTACCAATTACCAGTCGTACATCTACTTGTCTACAATCCAGAAAAGGAAAAAAAAAGGATTCTCAAAGTGATGTTTTTGGAGATATTATCGAAAGGGAGTTAATTTTTTTCTATTATGTAGTTCATAATAGCTTCTTAAAAACAATCGCTTCTTGTTTAATATTCTTTTTTATGCAATGTAAGTTAGTTTAGCTCATTTTTCTGAATATCTTTAAGAGAAAAGTGCAATATGTTGCCATATAGTTTTGGCATCAAATTTAAAACCCATCTTTGCACAATGCTGTACTAATTAATCATCATCATCATCTTAGAAAGTCTATATTTGAGCCTATTTTTTTATTATATATATATATTCAACTTGTAAATACTCCACAATGAAAAATGAGTATCAGGATTCATATTTACTAAACCAGGTCTTAAAAGGCAACAAAGGAAAGCTTAAATCACTTAAATCACCTGAAGCAGCTTCCAGTCTCACTCATGTTTAAAGAAAGTCTGGCGGCACACCACATCAACGGCAGAAAAGAAAGAAAAATGTCCCGGTGCACAAGAAAACCTTAAAGAAGCTTTGAGGACATCAGAAATCAGGTTGTTAAAGATTCAGTCTGTCAGGTTTTATAGATCAGAGACCAGCTTCGGAAAGCCCAAGGCACAAACAACTGAAGCGTAGAAGTGACAAATAGAGCAGGAACATTGTGTCCTTGGATCACAAACAAAGAGACAGTTCACTCGTAATGATTCCACAATTTAATCAAATTTTTTACAACAAGGGAAGCTGCCAGAAACAAGGTGTGAACTGCAACACTTCTCTCATTTAATGCTACAAGTAACATTCAACACGACGCCGGCGAACATGTTGACAATCTGCCAAAGCAGAGATAATGTACAGGTAGGGCCCTGTAATTTCTGAATGATGGAAAACAGTCTAAATGTTTAAATGGGAGTTTAACCGTTAAAAACAAAATCCACTATAAAAGCAGAGTCTTTGTTTTCCACTCTTTACATTGATATCCACATTGGAAGATCAAACATTGGATGAGAAAAGACAGGATTGCTGGCATAACAACTACAATGATGTAATAGCACTTTGTTTATGAGCCAAATAATCAACATGTTACATCAAAAAAGGGAAGAAGCAAGCTAGCATTAGCATACTTTTGAGTAAACTCAGCAAAATGCAAAGATTGTCAACAGAGAGAGAGATGCACATGAACCAAAGACTAGCTGTATGTAACAAGTTAGCAAATTCTTTAGAACTTAATAATAAAGATATGTTGTTAGAAAACATTAAGCTAAATACTAATCCCTTTAAATTTATTTATTTTCTCTATTGTGCTTTTAAAAATGTGACAATAGAAAAGGGTAATTTTGGAGAAAAAAAATCCATTTCATAGAGCTCTTGCAAAGACTGAATCAGACTTATTTTTCTTCTTTTCCTGTTCCATCAAGAGGACAACCTGCATGAATTTAGGAAACTCTTTCCAAAAGTGTTTTTTTTTTATCTTTCTATGAGAAAACTACAAAAAGAAACCTTCATCATATTTACAATCTCTATTTAAGGACAGAATCTAATTTCTTCCCCCAATCATTTTAGATTATTTTTTTTAATTTATATTTTGGCTCTTATTACTATATTATGAATGAGCTGCTGTTGTTCTACTTATTGGTCACAAATTCAGAATTGATTGCACAAACAGAAAAATATATTCAGCTTAACCAACAACATTTAGTAGACATTACA